AAGACTTTAGTCTTCAATCTACCACGCACAACCAACCATAGAATAAAACTATGCCGAGGAAAATTTCCACTTGACCAAACTAGCCTATGCCAATTAACTTTCGGTTGCTTAACTCTCAACAAATTATAGCAACTAGCAATAGAAAAGCAACCAGATACAGTAGGCCTCCACATGACCTTGTCCTCCCTATCTTGGAGACTTTTAGATGATATTAACTGGGCAAGGGAAGGGTACTTACGAACAAAACTGTCCGGCATATGCCAGGCTCCAGCATTCCACCATTTAGCCACAACACTGCCATGCCCCCATGCCATCAACTCTTCTCTAACTTGTACCCGATCGCATATTCTTCCACCTTCCAACCACAGATCATAAAAAAGAGATGTCTGCCTGCCATCCCCAATTTGAACCCAAACTTGGTCTTTAATACTAGTTCTCATCTTCAAAATCTGCTTCCAAGACCAGGAACAATCATTTGGTAACTTTACTTTCCATATGCTTTCCCCCTTTAGTAGAACTACTTGAGCCCATTGTACCCAAAGGTCTTGTTGCTTTTTACAAATTAGCCAAATATATTTGCACAAGGCAGCTCGATTCCAACTAGCTAACTGTTTAACTCCTAAGCCTCCCTCAGTTTTAGGAACACAAATATCTCACCAAGCCACAAGTGCCATTGCTGATTGATCCCACTTTCCTGTCCAAACAAAATTCCTAAAAGCAGCATCAATACTCTTAATAACTTTCTTTGGTAGCAAGAGAGCTCCACTCCAAAAAACTTGGATATGAAACAATACAGAGTTCAGCAATTGAATTCTGCCAGCGTAAGAAAGAAATTTGGAAGTCCAAGAACAGATACGATGTCTAATTTTATCCACCACTGGCTGGCATGTAATAGCAAAAAGCTTTGTGGAAATAAGGGGCAGACCCAAATATTTCACAGGTAATTGCCCTTCACTGAACCCTATTTGATTTAGAATATGCCCTTTCAATCCATCTGACACACCTCCAAAAAACATTTGGCTTTTTGAGCTATTAATAACGAGTCCAGTAGCCATAGAGAATTTATCAAACAAACTTCTAATAATAAGAGGAGAAGCCTTATCAGCTTTGCAAAAAATCATCACATCATCAGCAAAAATTAAGTGCGTCAACTTTAACTTCCTACACCTACTATGATATTGAAAATCCTTATTTCCCTCTAACTCTTGCAATATTCTTGTCAAATATTCCATTACAAGCACAAAGAGATAGGGAGACATTGGATCACCTTGCCTCAGTCCTCTTTTCCCTTGAAAAAAACCATAAGGTTGCCCATTTAATACCACAGAAAATCTAGCTGAACTCACACATACCATGATCCATCTTACAAACTTAAGAGGAAATTGTAGTTCAATTAACAAACTCTCCAAAAAACCCCAATGCACTGTATCATAAGCTTTCCTCAAATCAATCTTCATCAAACATCTAGGGGAACCCCCACTTCTATGATAATTCCTGACTAGATCCTGACAAACAAGGATGTTTGTTGTGATAGATCTCCCCTTCACAAAAGCAGCTTGATTATCACTAACTAAAAATTTCAGTACCTCAGTCATCCTCTGAGCTATCAACTTTGTAATTACCTTATAAGTAACATTACAACACAAAATATGTCTAAAGTCACCCACAGTATTAGGACAATTTGTCTTGGGAACAACACTAATATTGGTAGCATTAACCTGCCCAAGTAGCTTCCCACTATGAAAAAAATTTAATACTGCTGCAACAAAATCTACCTTAACAATCCCCCAAGCTGCTTTGAAAAAACTTGAAGTAAAACCATCAGGCCCAGGTGATTTACTGTCAGGTATAGTAAAAAGGGCATCCTTAATCTCCTCTTCATTAAAGGGCCTACACAATCTTAAGCTCTCCTCATTTGAAAGTAACCTTCCTCTTTTAACTATAGCAGAATCAATAGAAGGAACCCCTTCAACAGAGGTACCAAATAAATTTTCGAAGAAATTAAAAAATTCCTGGCCAATGTCATCCCTTTGAGTAATTCTTATGCCAGCCTCAGTAGTCAGACTAGCAATATTCCCTCTGTGTTGTTTCTCTTGCACTATTGCATGAAAATATGAAGAGTTGGTATCAACCTCTCTAAGCCAATCAACTTTAGCTTTTTGTGATGCCAACATTACATCAGCTTCAACTACCCTTTCATATTCTCGAGTAGCTTCCTTCACTTCCTGTATTATATGATCATTAAAAGGATCAGATTGCAATGCCTCTTGTTTCTTAATAAGCTCTTCCTTTGCACAAAAAACCCTCTGCTACAAACCTCCAAACTTAGCTCGATGTAGCTTCTTCATTTGCAATTTAACTGCCTTAAGTTTTTGCACTAGGACATACATAGGGCAGCCTCTTACCTCTTGTTACCAAGCCAGCTTTACTAAATTCAGGAATTCCTCATCCTTCGTCCACATATTACAAAATCTAAATGCCTTATGCAGAACATTAGAAACAACCTCCATTGTAATTACACATGGA